TTTATTGAACAAACAGGGAATACAGAGTTTCTGAGGCCATAGATGGCCAACTATCCTACCCTAGATAGTGTCTTCAGTATCCAAAAGTTCCGAACAAAGGATCACTTGTTCAAGATGGCACCATCCTGCCAACAAGGGCTGGCACTCATGGCACACCAGCAGGCAGTGGCCGAGGATCCAACTCACCACAGCCAGAGGCACTCACAGGCAGCAGCCCACAGCCACAGTCTGAAGGTGTTAGTCGCACAGGATCCTGGCCCAGTCAGCAACAGAGGCAGGCAGCAGCGTAGGGAGGCAATGCCAGACACCCAGAGACGGGTCTTTGTGAGCTGTTGGCTGCCTCCAGCAACCGATCTGAGACACAGGCCCGAAGACTTTGGTGCTCCTTTCAGGCTGTGGCAGCAGCAGGACCGAAGGCAGGTGCAGTCACTTGGTAGCAGCAATACTCTTGGGTTTTTCTCTTCAGAGATTGGCTGCTAGAAGTTTCTTTCTTTTAGGCCAGCAACAGAATTGGAGGAGTGTGGGAGTTCCCAAATGGCTCCTGCCTTATATTTATCCTCTTTCACGGTCTCCCACCCTAGTTGGTACCTGCCTGATTGGACCATTTTAACCCAACTGGTGCCCGAGGGAGGGGCTGCCCACAGGCAGCAACGTTTGGCAAGGACAGGGAAAACCACCACATTTTCCCAATGACTCTCACTACTTAAGTGGCTGTGGGAAAAGGCCAGTCTTGCCTTGTACTCTATGCAGTGGGTGGCCTGGTTCCAAATTGAGACCCACTGTAAGTGTAAAATTCACACTGGATTTTGAAGACTTAATGTGAGAAAAATGAAAATTCCATCAGTAGTTTTTATATAGAATACCTATTGAAATGATATTTTATTAAATATCATTTAATTGAATAAAATATATTTTTCAAACTAATTCTACCTGTTTCTTTTTACTTTTTAAACATGATTTCTAGAATTTTTTTCTTTTTTTAAGTAATATAATAGTTTATTTTTATTACTTCTAGAAATTTTTAAAGTACGAGTGTGGCTCACATATTTCTTTGGGATAGCGCTGCTTTAGAAGAAGATATCTCGAAGTTGATGAGGCTGGTGTTCTTAAAACACATTCACTTTCACTGGATCCTCAATCAGAAGCTAATAAAATAGGAATTTATCTTATGGTCTTGGCCTACCCAAGATCTAGGATCTTGGGATCTCAGGGTTAGATAATGCAGGTCGAATTGATGCCTGAGTGCTTAGGTCAGGGGGCAGTGGAATAGGACTAGAGGACAGTGGAAAGGGTCTGGTGAGGTTTGATTGGAGGAAAGAAGACATTCCAGGGACCCCACAGGTCCTCCTTAGTCAGCAGTCAGTACATTCTCATTCATGTTCGTGCAGAAAATACCACTGTATTTATCAACTTCCCTACTCTATCCCTCATACACTTACCATACTAAAATGCATACTCTGCTTTTACCAGTCTTGTACAAGTACATGCCCTCTTTACAGCTGTATTTCAGGCACCCCAACGGAAACAGAAGGGCCTTGTCCTACTGGTCTACAGCTCCTAACTGGCCTTCTCACTTTCTCTGTTACTCCCTTACTGCTTGTATTGCTTTCTCTACCTCCTGGTTTCTACTCTTTCCATTCTGGACATTTTTAAAGCCCACCACAAGGTCATCTGCTTAAAGAGACCTTTTCAAGACCCAGGCCTACAGAGTCCTCTCTTCAAGCACTGTAGGACTCACTTTTGGCCACAGGCCTGCTCATCTGAGGTGGAGGGCTGTGCAGTCTAACTCTTGAGTTACTCAGATTTTTCCTTTGATTCTTTAATTGGGCTTTAAATTATTGAGGACAGAGTCTTGCTTGGTTTATGTTTATATTTTGCTTTTTGTCTGAACCAGTATACTAAGTAGGTCCACAGAAAAACAAAACAACCAAACTCAGAAAAAGAGATCAGATTTGTGGTTACCAGAAGTGGTGAGGTGTGGCAGAAGATAAGGGGAATTGAATGAAAGTGGTCAAAAGATAGAAACTTCAAAGCCTCCCTGGTGGGTTCAAGGGGTTAAGTCTCAGCACTATGAAGTTATCTGCAGCCACTGCAGCATGAGTTCCATCCTGGGCCAGGGAGCTGACCCACATGGCGCAGCAGACCTCTCCTGACCCGCCCACTGCTCCCCTAAGCAGTGTGTTTCAATCTGCCTGTTCTGCGCCCCACTCTGTCTCTGGTGAATCCTCTCATTCCGCTGCACCTCTGGTCTACACCCCAGTTCTTGTATTCATAAATAAATAAAAATCTTTTTAAAAAAACAATAGAGACCAGTTATAAGATAAATAAGTACTTAGGGATGTAATGTGTACAACATAACTAAATTGCTGTATTGTGTATTTGAAAGTTAAAAGAATGGATCCTACAAATTTTATTACAACAACAAAAAAATTCTGTGTCTATATGAGATGATGGCTGTTAGCTAAACTTACTGTTTAGATAAACATATATGTAAGTCAAGATATTTTTGCCATACAGTTTAAATTTACAAAGGGTGATCTGTCATTTATATCATTAAAACTGAGGGAAAAACATGATGGAAAACTAAGCTTCAGTCATTGCAAGTGCACCCAGTTAATTTTTATGTTAACTTTTAAGATAATTTTAGATTCATAGGAAGTTGCAAAAATAATAGAGCCATTACTATAAATTTCACACAGTTTCACACTATCTGCTAACTCTAGTACAATACCAAAACCAGGAACTTCACCTTGGTGTCTATAGCCCTTTGCCATTTTCTCACAGGTGTGATCTGTGTAGCCACCACCACAATTGAGATGCAGAACTATTGCAGCACCTTGACCTACTGTATGACTACCTCTTTCTAAAACTGCCACTCCCCTCACAGACTGTCCCTAGTCCCTGACAACTTCTAATGTGTTTTCCATCTCTACAATTTTGGTAATTTCCAGTAGAAGTTCACTTTAACATACATAGGTATTTGGGAAGACCTTCTTTTGTAGCTATTTCTGGGTGAATGCTGTGAATATAACACTAAGCTTCCCTTGCTTTCACCTCTCTTCTCAATTTTACTTGTGTAACATCACCAGTCTATGTGATGGTGTAGAAACCTTCCTTTAAGTCTCCTTATGCTCCCTGTTTTATAATTTAACTGCCCTTAACTATTTCCTCTGTTAAAACTGAGAGCCATGTAGACGATGCATGAGTGCGTGGCACAGGGGTACTGGAACCTGGTAGTCTTTGATCGTCTGAAGAAAGAGGAAATTGTGGCAACTGCAGAGTGCCTCCTCCCAGCCAGCAGTCATTTCATTTCTCCTTTTTATTTTTGAAATTGCTTGAAGCAGAAATTACCACTGTGCTTTAACAAGTTCCCTAATCTATCCACTATATAAGCAGTAAGTTAACATGTTGTTTAAACCATCAGATAGAATTTAGAAAACTCGAGAAGGAAAGCTTATTGTACTAACCCATACTTTTACTCTTTTGTTCTCCCTTTTTGGTGTTTCAAGATTCCTTTTTGTTTAGTAATTTAATTTCGGTTTCAAAGATCTACTTTACCTATGTTTTAGGGTAGGTCTGCTGTTCAGGGATTCTCCTCATTTATCTTCCTTGAGTACATCATCACTCCTGATTTTCACAGGATATAAGATTTCAAGTTGACAGTTTCTTTCAGCACTAGAAAAATGTTATGCCTCTTCCCTCAGATCTTCATGACTTGTGATGAGAAATTTTTACCTCTCTTTGGAATTTTAATTTCGTAAGTGTTACATTTTCACTTATGAAGCCTCACAAATTCTTGATACTCTGTTAATATTTTTTAGTCTGTTCTCTCTGTTGTTCAGGCCATTGATTTCTGTTCTTCTGTCTTAAAGTTCATTGCTTCTTTCCTTTGTCCTCTCCATTTTACTCTGAATACATCAAGGTTTTATTTCACGTTTTTCTCAATTCTGAAATTTTGATTTTGTTCTTCATCGCTTCTGTTTCTTGGCTGATACTGTTTTTAAAATTTGTTTCAAACATCCTTGTAATTGCTCAGTGAAGCATTTTTATACTGGTTGCTTTAAATTTTTTGTCATATATATATTTTTTTTAAGATTTATTTGTTTGTGCATACAGAACTGGGGTACAGGCCAGAGGCTCAGGGGCGGTGAGAGGCTTCACCAGAGACAGAGTGGGGAGCAGAACAGGCAGATCTACGAAGTACACTGCTGAGGGAAGCAGCGGGCGGTCAGGAGAGGTCTGGCTCGCCATGTGGTCTCCTCCGGGGCAGGCGGCAGGCGGGAATCGAACTCATGCGGAAGTGGCTTCAGATTCTCAGTGCTGTGCTTTAACCCGCTGCGCCACCAGGGAGGGCCTTGTCATATATTTTTAACATCTCTACTTGGTATTGGCATCTGTTGATAATCTTTCCCTCCTAGAGTTGAATTTTTCCTTCTTCCCACTATAAAGAGCAATTTTCAATCCTGGACATTTTGAGTAATATGAAAAATTGGATCTTATTCAAACCTGTTTTAGTAGAACTTCTCTGACACCACCAAGGATGTCAGGTAGAGGTCAAAATTCAGCTTCCTCTGCTGAATTCCTCACAGCCTCTGCTGCCACCCTCAGAAAGGGAGTGGGTGACCAGGCTCCCTGCTAAGCCTCTGGAGGTCACAGCCTGCATGGGAGAGGGAAGGAGGCTTTTTCCCTCATGAAGGAGCACAGAGCTGCCAGCTGAGGTGAAAGTCTTGACTGTCTAGCAGGCCTCCTCTGACACTACCCTGGCAGGAAGTGGAAGTCTAGATTTCCCACTCAGCTTGCCTGAAGGTGGGGTTAGTTTTTTCTGTGGTTTGGTTGGAGTAGAGTGGTCTAGTAGTGTTCTTTCTTGCTAAGCGCTCCTTTACTGACCCTTTGGTTAGAAAGAGCAGGATTTCTTTCTTCCTTTCCTCCCTCCTCCCCTTCCATTCCTCCCCTCCACTTCCTTTCCTTAGAGACACAATAGAAAGCTGCTGCTCCCAGAGTAGCGAACTCTTTATTAGTAACCAAGATACAGAAGGATAAATGACAAACAGGCACTTCTTAGCTCTCTGAAATTTTTGTAACATACAAAACAGGTGTGAAAGATACTTAATCTTGATACTTTCCAGTATCAGAGTGGGTGCTGGCAGCTAATGATGCTGAGAGGGCCCCTTCTGAGACCCTGAGGGAAGGTGCCTAAAGAAAAGCTGGAGGCAGAGCTGAGAAAACATCTTCTGTTAGATTTAGGGTCGTGAGTTCTGCCCTGGGACACAAGACACCCGAGACCATGACATTTTTTCCTGAAGGAGCACTTGAGAGTAATGTATAAACCCCTGGGAAGGAAAGACAGCTGTGCCTGCAGCTAACTTGCTGTGAGCTCGAGCAGCTCCTTCCCAATGCAGAAGGGAAGCGTAACTGCTGCCATAGGTGCCGCGTTGAGTCCTCTTCAGACTCTGGTTTCAATGAAGAGGGAAAAGAGAACAGAATATGAGCATGCCCCTTTTAGTCCTGGGTTGGGCCCTTCTCAGTGGTGATACATTCTGTTCCTGAGAGCTGTAGCAGAACAGGTGCGTGAAAGTGCCTGTGTGTGTGAGGGGGGCACGCACATGGATGGATGGATCTCTGTGTAAGTCTGTACAACTTTGGGGTGGGAGGCTCTTGGGTAATCACTGTTTGTAAAATGGTCCCAGCAAACAACTTTGTAAAGGCAATTAAGGTGCAGAAGATTGTGGGAGAGCTCTCTGTGGTGGCCAGGGAGAAAGGTTTCCTGCTTACACCACCCTAGAACCCACCCTTGATGGAGATGCCAGAGGGTGGGTTCCCATCTTGTACCAGGCAGGGGTGAGCGCATGACTACAGGCCTCTCAACTGATGAAACTGAAAAGCACCCCAGCCACTCGGGCCTATCTCTGGGGACTTGTCACAACAGGGGTGAGCACAGGCAAAGAGCTGGAGGCTCAAGGTGGGATCTCCTTGTGCTGGGCAAATGACAGGAGGAGTCAGCTGGGCAGCAACGTCCTAAAGCACATTTAGGAACCATGTGGAAGCAGCTGCCTGGCGGTTCCAGGGACTCAGCAGTGGCCAGCACGTGGCCGAGGAAGCCAGCTCTGTCAGCCAAGATCTGTCTCCCCCTGGAGACTCCCCTTCACCTTTTCCTACAGTGATTCAAACACAGCTACTGCCTGTTCTTATCCTACACAGTCCTCATGTAGTGAAACTGCACCGTCAGATGTCCAGCTGTTAGTGCCAGTTGGCCCTGGTTTTTGCTGTCTGGCTGATAGCTCAGCAAGTGGAAGTGCCATGTGCAGCCATTGAGTCCATGCAACACATGCGATGTGGTGCCTAAAAATGTTCAGTGGCTACAGATGTCTGTGCAGCTGGCACTTCTGAGAATTGAGGAACAAGCAGGACCCCCTTACAACTCCAGGAGTGCACACCCGGCCTCAAGGCAATCTTCAGGGCAGGGACAGGGCCTTGGCGAGGCGAGTCCAGAACCAGGACTTGGTGCAGGGGTTGGTGTAGTCACAGACAGTGATGAACCGCAGGATGCTAGGGAACTCTTTCTTCATTGGCTTGTACTTGATGGGGATCAGTCGCTTCTGATGGGCACCTGCAAGCCAAGAGGCACAGAACTGGCACCACACCTCTCCCCCACAGTGGGGCAGGGTCATTTTCTAGCACCGGGATTAATGGCAGTGCGCTCCTAACAAACACCCCTGACACATGTTCACCCACACAGACGGCACAGGTGTACACATACTCAGCTGTCCAGAAATTCCCAGGAGTTCTTAGTGCTGCCTACATGGCCCTTGGTGAGGGAAGACTGGCATCCAAAAGCTTCACCCACCCACTCCACTATTAAAAGGGCAAGGCTGAGTTTACCTGGAGAAAGGCTGAGTGCGAACTTGGTCTGGAAGTCACATTCCTTGCTTTGCAGGTAATCATCGGTGACCACCACCACCATGCGGCGGCACCTAGGCGAGAATGGGCAGGCTGACAGATACCTGCGATTCAGTTCAGCAGACCCCCGGGAGCGGACTCAAAAGGACCCCAGTGTCTGCAGGTGTCAGATAGGGCCCAGCTGGGAAAATCCCAGCATCTGGATCCCTGAGTGGGTTTCATGCACCCCCATCCACTTGTCCCCTGACCACCTAACCAACCTTTTCTCAATGAGCTCACTGGCAATGGACCAGACACAGGTGCCAGGCAGGACATCACGGTCGGACACACACAGCTTCAGCCGATAGTCTGTCTGTTCCAGCTGCCGGATCATCTCTTGTACAAACTGGATATCATTGGGGCAGTAGCAGATGAAGGCATCAAAACGCTCAGGCATTTGCCCTGGGTATCGCACAAGGGGGATGGTCAGAGTGCTACAGGAAAGCTGAGGAGGAGCCCCACTAGAAACCTCCAGCCTAGGCAATCTCAGTCCTGGACCCTGCACCAATCCTGAAATGGCACTACACGGAGTAAGAGCCCGTCTCACAAGACACGAGAGGAAGGATGAGTGCCCCCACCCCTGTCCTGGCGCGAGTCCTAGGTTCCTGAGAGTGTCATAGCAACCCAGAGGTAGGACTCTTGTTCCCATATCTTAGGTAAGGAAACAGGCTCAGAGAGTTTGGTGACTTGCCTTAGGACCCTGGCCATGTGCTTTCAGTCCCCATACTCGTAACACAATGGCCCACTTGCTCCATTTGGCCCAGAGGAACAGCATTGGGCCCTTACCTTGGGGATCATCTAGGGTAGTGATGCCCAACAGCTCTGGGGTCTGCGGGATACTGCTGTCCACTGCAGCCACCTGTAAGGGCTTCTCAGACTCCTCCTGTTGCTGCTTCAGAATATACTTTTGGCAATCCTCCTCTGTGGGAAAGAGATGAGAGGCAGTAGTAGGCTCCCCAGGGGTGTCCCACACCCCTACCCATCTAGTCAGTATCCAACCCATCCCAGCTCCTTGGCCATGTTGTGCTTCAGGGCTGCTCTGACTCACTGGTGTCATCCACGCCTGACAAGCCTCAGAAGCTGGGCTCCTACCTGGCACTGGCCCTCCCAAAGAGATGTCAGTGCTGTTCTGGCCATGTACAAGTCACTGAGGAGTGTGTGCTTCTGTGCCCCTTTGCCTCAGCCCTCTTCCTAGGGCCCCTGCGAATGGAACCTAAAATATGATTTTAGGATCCACAGCTGATAGGAACAGGAGGTTGGGCAGGCAAGAGTGGCCCAGAATACTAATGATTTTTTGCAGTGAGGGCAGAGTCCCCAATGCATATATATTGTGGCAGGAGGGGGTGCATTTCCCACATACCCAAAGTTTCCAGTCCTCTACCAGCCCATTGCTCTGCCTGGACAATACAGCCCTCCCTTTTCCCCAACCCCCCAGACTCCCTATAGTGACCCTGGCCCTACATGAAAGCCTTTGCCTAAGTTGTCTCTCTCCCGACTCTGACTCTGGGAACCTGGAGCCTTGAGCCTTAAGCCTTCCCATCCTTTCCACAGTCTGTCATCTCACATATTGAAAGAGGGAACTGGTTTCTCACGTTTCCCCCTCCCAGGCTGCCACCAGCACCCTGAAGCAGGAAACTGGTCTTCCCCATGGGAGACTGGATGCTGAAGATGGTGAAATTCGGTTCCCCCATCAGTCACCTGTCCAACCCACTGAGGCCGGGAAGGGGTCGTCCTCACCTATACTGGGCACCAATTCGACCAACACGTCCTCACGGCCCATCTTGGCGAGGAGTTCCAGCAGGCGACCCACCGAGGCGCCGGGGCGTCCCTGCCAGGCTTCCAGCAAGCAGCCAGTGGGGTCACGTTGCGACTCCAGCTGCCGGATCTCCAGGTACTCAAAGCCCATCTCCTCGGCCAGAGCCGTCCAGTCTGCCGCCACCTGCGTCCGAACATTCAGAAACAGCGATAGGCGGCGCCGCACTCGCATGTTGAGCGCCGCCAGGGGCAAGGAGGACATGGAGGGGGAGAGGGACTTAGACCCCGCTACCGGACCCTCGGCAGCCATGGTCAGCCGTCAGGAGCCTCCAGACTTTGCCGGCCAGCGCTTTGCCGGCCAGCGCTTCCTCCTTCCCCTACGCAACCCACACTCCCCTTCCCCGCCCCGCCCCAACCACCGGTTTCGCTTTCCGAGAAGTGCCGCCCAGCCCCACTGATCTGGAGTCCCAGTTGTGCGGAGATGGGGGCGCCCCGCCTGCCTTCGAGGTCTTGGGAAACAGGATAGGAGAAACAAAGATCCACCTTTTGAGGTCTGGGGAGCCCACGGACCTGACCTGTCTTTAAGAGACTGGTGGGGTGGGGAAGGCTGGGGTTTGTAAGAAACTGGGGTCTCGTTCTTTTCGAACATGTGGAACAGCATTCGTTGGATCCTCGGCATCCGAGAAGTTTATGTGTCCTGCGTTAGAGGATCAGGGGAACGGATCAAGGGAGAGAAGCACTGGCTTTCTCCACCCTCATCTCTTGGGAACACACTATCCTGCTCTAGACAATTTGAGGAGGGGACCCTCTGTGCACTGCGAGGTGGAGTGGAAAAGGGCACCCAGCCTTCTTGAGTCCTAGGCATGTCACGCCTCACCCTTGAAAATTGGAGGGCAAGATCGTAAATCGGAGTTGGAGATGATAGGGTGCTCTGGGTTCTGGTGACGGGGGAAGCACAGTATTAATATCCAGGTTCTCGGGAGACACACTTTGGGAGTCAAAGGGGCACCTGGCCTTGCTCTTCAGCACAGTGCTGACCTGCGGAGCCGTGGCTTGCTCATTTACCCAACGGATACTTATTTGATCACCTGCTAAGCATGAAGCATTTGCAGGTACCCTATATATAAGACCCTCCTTGCCTTGGAGGGAAAGTGGGGGAGGTGAACACTAATAAAATCATCCCCGAATGAGTATAAAATTGGTAAACAGAAGGGTGCAGTGTTCTCTGCAGATGGGAAGCTTGTCACATCTTGGCACCGTTGTATAATCCATTCTCCCCTTAGCTCCGAAATCTGAATGTCCTGTCTTCTCCACAAATCTCCCAAGCTTGTCGGAGTCGGTCTCTGTGGGTACCTCGGATTTAAGTGGGTCTCCGAGCTTGGGCGCTGGGACCCAGGGGGTGCAGAGCAGAATGGGAAGGGGGAAGAGGAATTGAGAGAGCTCGGGCCTCCTCCGACCAGAAGTAGCAGCCGCGGACAGAGCTGCTGGCAGCCCCGCCTTCGTTCCCGCCTTCGTTTGGGTGCGGGTCGTGGTTGAGGGACAGTGGAAAGGGATCTTGGCAGTGGCGCAGCCAGCTAGGAGAAATCAAATCAGACTTAGCCATTCCGCCGCGGATTTGGCGGCAGGCGGGGCCTCCTGTGGAAAGATTTCATTTCTGGGCAGGTCTTCAGAAAGGCTCACCTCCTGGTTGGCTGTCGTGGGCTATGGTAGGCGGGACTTTGGAAAGAGCCAGATTTAGGCGGTTCCTAAATGAGGCAGATGCGGGTGGGGGCGGGACCTCAAGTAGACCCGCCTTCTGGTTGGCTGTAAGTGAAGGTGGGCGGGACTTTGGGAGGGACGGCGCATCAGTCTCGCGGGATTGCGGGTGGTGTTTACGCTTCGGGTGCAAAAGTGCAGTTTTGCGCCTGCGCGGAGGTGGGTGTGCAGCTTCCCGCAGCCAGTTTTCGCGGCCTGGTGCGTCCTCCGGGTGGAGAGGCGAGATGCGGAGGCTGCAGGTGGTGCTGGGCCACCTGAAGGGCCAGCCGGGTTCGAGCCCGGAGCCGGCGCTGCAGGTCAGGCCGTGCTGGAGCGGTGCCCCGCAAGGGTCCGCCGCGGACGTGGTGGTGGTGCATGGGCGACGCACGGCTATCGGCCGAGCGGGCCGCGGCGGCTTCAAGGTGAGGTCCCTCGGCCTGGCGTTGGGTGTGAGACGGCGGTCGGGGGCAAACCATGCTTTTGTTGGTCTCCATTATTCTCCTTGGCGCACGAGATGGCTTCGACCTAAACTGTGCCCCTGTTATCTCTGGGGTGGGCAGCGGGAAGTGGGGTCCCGGGAACTCCGTGTACCGCGGGAAAGGGATCACCACACCTGCGCTTCTGTTGCAGGATACCACCCCAGACGAGCTTCTCTCGGCTGTCATGACCGCGGTTCTTCAGGATGTCAATCTGAGCCCGCAGCAGTTGGGGGATATTTGCGTGGGTGAGCACACTTCCCAGGCCCTAGCTTGGCCCTTGTCGCCTAGCCACCCCGTCAAAGCTCTCTTAAGAATTCTCCCATCAGGTGTTTTCACCGACGGAAGTGTTAGCGGACTGCACACAACTGAGTTAATAGCCGCTTTAAAGCTAGATCAGTCTCCCCCTCCAGGCACACTTTGTATCCCCTTCAACACGTTCTGCTTGTTAAGCATGATAGAAAGCAGGGGTCTCTATAGAGAGGCGCTGACTAATGCAGACGCTCTTGGCTTTTGAGGGGGCATTAAAAACCATCTAGTCCAGCCCTTCATACAGTTGGAGAAATTGACGCCTGGAGAATTTGCAGCAGAGCTTGAAACTAAGTAAGGTCCAGGGTCTTTTGACATTCAGCACAACCCTTTTTCCTGCACTCCTAACTTCTCTGGCCTGGAAATAAAATATGGTTAAAGTGTTTAAATGAGTGCCACCCTAGTTTGCAAATCATTGGTCCACCTCTGAGTGCAAGCAGAGCCGGGCAGAGGACACTAGGGGTGGTGTGCAATTGCAGAAACTCGTTTCCCTGACAGGACCAGTTCGTCAGACTTTTAAGTTGTGCACTGATTCTTTTCCATGTTACCTTTAAAGCCAGGCAACATGCCCAGAGTATTCTGATACGGAAAAGCAGGATGATGGTGAGGGAGCTTGGGAACCTCAGAATGCCTAATGTATGACCAGGACAAGCTGCTAGATAACTGGCTTTCTTTGCTCTGGACTTGGAAATCTCGGAGCTTAAAGAGAACCTGCTAAGGCCTTTTCTCTCTGAAGAGGATCTGAAATGTTCTTTCTCTAGTATTTACTGTTTTTGTGTCAGAAAATCACCAGGCACTGAATAATGGTTTGTTGTCCACAGGAAATGTACTTCAGCCGGGGGCCGGGGCAATCATGGCCCGAATTGCCCAATTTCTGAGGTAAACTTTTCCAATTCTAGCTCTGGTGTAGCCATTTTGACTCATGAGTGGGTGCATACCCCAGGGAACTCAGCGTGTGGGTGGGAGAAGATCACCTTAGCTGCCAGACCTGGTGGCAACTCTGCACTCAGGTCCTCAGCACTCTGCTTTGGTGGATCCTACCTTTCCCCTACTTAGAAGAGATGTGTTACACAATAGGAGAAATAGGCCCTTTGGGACTCGAGTGAACGCTCTCTGGGTGTTGGGTTTTAGCCAGTGTGCTTGTTGCTTTGCCTTTTTTCAAGTTTGGACTCTGCACTCTTAAGTCAGGTAAATAACCAACTTGGCATGATGAGGAGTGATTGGCCTTTTTCGCTAGTTTAGCAAGCTGGACCTCCTGGCATTCCCGTCAACAGTGTCTTAGAGACAGGGCAGAACCCTGAAGCAAGGGGTAGCTCAGGAAGCCCCAATAAACCTGCCCTTCACCATTTGCTGTCCTGAGGCCGAGGAAAGGCACTTAAATTACTTTCACGTGTAGCTCGAGTGACCATTAGCTTAGTACTCCCAGCTGTCTGGAGAATAGGACCATCAGCAGTGAAGAAATAGAAAAACAAGCAAACCTGTAGGGACTGAGATTGGTTCAGACTGCTTAGCTGGCATTCATGGACTCCCACGGCCCAACCCAGGCTTGTCCAGCCTTAGCTCCCAGCTGCTTGTTTCGACTGACCCCCTTTCAGCCAGCCTGCCTGCTGCTGTCTTCCCTATGGAATTCTGGCCCTACTTGGTCTCTGCCACAGCTAAATGTGTCCAGTGTTTCCTCATTGCGGCGTGACTTCCAGCCCCATTCCTTCCACTAGTTAGCCACGTGCTCCTGGTGGTACGACTTGACCCTCTGCCCTATGACTTCATTCTCTGCTAGTTGGTTTTCCCTTTGTTGGTCATGAGTCTCCGTGGGCACTGTGTTACAGACATGTCCACAGCCTTCTGGGGCCTCGTGCTGAGTAGGTATTCCGTGAACATGGGTGGGTGAGGTAGGGGGTGGTGAAGTGGCACAGGGCGGATTCAGTATCAGTTAGGGCAGGCAGATAGAGCCCCAGAGCCCTCAGTGGGTTTATCAGGCTTTAATGCTCAGGGAACCGGGTACACAGGTACACCAGGCAGGGAGGCTGGCATGCAAGGAGGCAAGCGTGGGCAGACAGGCAACCGAGTCTCCCGGCACCCCCGTACCACCGTTACACTTCTCTGGGCACGCTGGAGTTCTCGTGTGGTCTCGCCTCTCCGTAGTCACGCAGCGCATCCTCCCGTAGCCGCCCCCTGAGTGACGCCGCCCTTATAGGCCTGACTTCTGGGCTCAGGTGTGCACACTTACACATGCCCACGCCCTGCTCCAGATTTCCAGGCTCATGTGCCCACGCCCCCAGGCATCTTCTGAGTTAATGCGATCAAGGCCACAGGTGATCGCCACTGAGCCTAGTGGCCTAAAAAGCCTGACCAATTCACTTGCCTTACAGGTGGTAACTAGATACTAGGGAGTTGGGAGAAGTGGGAGAGTTCACCGGGCTGCATGGGCCTGTCCAACACAGAGCGACTTGAGCAGAGTGGGACTTGGCATTTGCTCAGGGCTTTCCTACCCTGGCTATATACCCGAATCACTGGGGTGCTTTCAGCCCCTCATGGTCTGAGTTCATGGGTCTCGGGAGGGCTTAGGGATTTCCTCAGGGCTTTGCAAACATGGCCAGGGCAGATTACATCAGATGGGCAGCCCTATTAGCTTCCATAGTTCAGGACCAGTGTGAATGCCCAGAACAAGTGATAACAGAACAGACAGTCTCCATCAGAGCTCTTCATCCAGCTGGGAACAGGCTTTACAGGGAGAAAGGGAACATAAAGGCCAGCCAAGTGGTTACTTGTATGGGAGGGTTTCTGGCCTTCATGCTTCACATTTGTTTTGCTCTGGTGCGCTGTCCCAGTAACAGGCTCTCCTCTGGTACTTGGAGGGAAACAGCTGCAGTTTTCATTTTTGAATTTGCATAAAGAAGGCTGCCTGTGACTCAGCTAGCCTTCCCTTGCCTTTGGGCTGTGCTTAGCCTTGGGAAAGGAGAATCACAGGATGGAATCACAGGCCCTATAGAAGTGGGCTCTACCCACTACAGATCTGGTCTGGGGTGGGGCCAGGGCGCCTGGTCTCTGCCCTCCCTGCTGGCAGCTAGATAGCTAGGAACGCAGGCCTGCTCTCCGTAACAGTCTGGCTAATGCTCTGGTCTCTCCATTTCAGTGACATCCCAGAGACCGTGCCTTTGTCCACTGTCAACAGACAGTGCTCCTCGGGGCTGCAGGCAGTGGCCAGCATAGCTGGTAAGTTGTGACTCCATGGGTTTGGGTCAGCAAAGTCACTGACTGCTGGACAAGCAATACTGCTGAGAGGCCTCTTACCCACAGAGAGGAAAGGAGAGCCCCTTGCTGCTGCCCCACACTTTTTGTGGACATCCCTGGGTTCCATCTCTAATGCTGGGGCCTAGTCCTGCCTAGAGACCAGGTGGGGAAGAGGCTCCCCTGAACCCAGAACAGATGGACTCTGGTGAAGGATGTTTATGAAATGCTTTTGTTGCAGGTGGCATCAGAAATGGGTCTTATGACATTGGCATGGCTTGTGGGTAAGAATTTCTTTCTGCCAGAGTTTATTAACCAACTTGCAACAAACTAATTTTCACCTCCCGAAAGGCCTTGATTTAGAGATTCTCCTTTAGCCCCTTTAAGCCGCTGGCTGGGAGTGGGGTCCTGCTTAGAAGTCACCTCAGCCTCTGGCTGCTCTGAAGTGCTCACGGTCCCAGCACTGACAGGGAAAGGAATTGGCCTTTCAGAGCTTTCCCTTTTTTTTGAAATCTGTCAGGCTGGAAATGTGGGTGTTTTGAGGAACTACAGCGCTTGGGTTTCCTTATGAGGCCCTCGTTGATTCTTGAGACTCTTGAGAGAATTACACTTTCGGCTCCCAAAAACTATGGACAGCTGCTCCTGTGTAGTTAGTTGTTTCATGGTATCACAGCCTGTCCTCTGGTCCCCCATCCTGGTACTAGGACAGAAACTTCAGTTGCCTGTGGGGTTCTGAGGGGCATGGTCAGGTCTGTGGTGGTTTGCCAGTGTCAGCTGTGCTTCAGCGATGGCGGCTGGGATGGAGCTGCAGCAGTTGTATTGGGCAGTGCCTCCGGGAAGGGCAAGAGCCCAGGCCTGCGTGGGCACCTGGCACTGGGGGCAGGCCGAGGGAAGGGTTGGCAGGACCAGGGAGGTGAGCAGCCCCAGGGTTTGGACATGCTCTGCCTTTCAGCTCCTCTTTACACAACGTTTGGTTGGGAGCTTGCTGGCCACTCAGGGCTGTGCCAGCTGGGCTTGCCGTCATGCCTGCAAGCATCAGTAAAGCCAAAGACCATACTGCAGGGACTTTGACTGGGCAAGGGTCACTGTCCCGTGTGCCCTTTGTTTTCATGTACCCCTATTTTTCTGGGGAAGAAAGTACCTTCAGATGAAGGTCTGGAAATTTTATGGGTCTCCTAGAGGCCTTTCTGAGGCCTCAGACAGGTTGGGCCATGTTACCTAGGGTGTTATGGTTCTCCCTCATAGGTTCTGTCATGAAGAAATGGCCCAGGGCAAACTGGTTGTATGTGGGCTCTGGAGCCAGGCTACCTGAGTTTGAATCCTGGACAAGTGACCACGGACAAATTACTCACCTTCCCTGAGCCTCAGTGTCCTCATGAATAATGTGGGGATAATACCTTCAGCCCTGTTGAAGTTGAGGTTAACAACACCTGACAAGGCTGCAGCTCATGTGGTTGAGCTCTGATGCTGGAAAGGTCCAGGACAGTGCTGGGCACATGAAAGGCATTCAGACAGGGCTGTCTGTTAGCCCCGAGGCTGTGATCACCCTGACCTGAGAGCATGCCTTCCTCTTAGCACTTCCACCTCCCTGCAGGGCTCTTTGACCCGTAGCTTGTAGTTACTTTGAAAATACGTCTCTTTCCATGCCTGCAAGTGTGGCTGCCGAAGGCAAGGCCTGTTTGTCATGTGTGCCCCCCCCCCCTCACCGTGGCCAAACACTAAGCGTCTTCCTGAGGGACTGTTGATCGAACGGTTGGCTGCAGGTTATAGTGGGGAAGCCAGGCCCTGCCCAGAGTGCACTGTGCAGTGCTGCCCTGGGGTAGGAGCAGAGGGAGAGAAGTGGGCTCAGTAGCCCTATAACCCAACTCTGCCTTGCTGGCCAGTGCTTTGTGTGGGGCTCCCAGCCAGCCCGTTGAATTTCCTGGGGACTCCTGGGTATTTCCTAGCATTTATCAGGTTGGGGGAGTCCTCTTAGTAATCACCTTCTTCCCTTCCTCCTCATCAGGGTAGAGTCCATGTCCCTGGCTGACAGAGGAAACCCAGGAAATATTACTTCTCGCTTGGTGGATAAGAGGAAGGCCAGAGATTGCCTGATTCCTATGGGGTGAGTGCCCACTGGCCTCTATGTGCGTCCTTAGCATCCCACGGGGCCTGAGGCAGGGATCCCAAAACCCGGATTATTACATGGTCGACAGTGCCACACCTTGGCGTGCTGTGCAGCGGTTCAGGGGATGGGACTTGGTGCGGCCCCTCACTTCCATTTCCTTAAGCCCCCCGGGCCCTCTGTGCTCCGGGTTTCCAAGCATGTCTGTGATCTCACCCACCCTGAGGGACTCATTCATAGCAGGGATGATGGCAGCTGTACCTCATAGCCCTGGAGACCTACAACATTGCGGTGGGAGGCTGTTGACTAGTGAATACTTGCTGGCAGCTGCAGGGCAGAGCACATTGCATTTGCATGTGTCTTAGATCTTCAGTGTCACCAAGCCCTTGTGGGCAGGGGCTGGCGCCACAAGGAGGTGGAGAGGGGCAGTGCCTTGGCTGCTTTCACATCCAGCCACTGCCAGGATCTCCACGTGAAGCTTTTAAAGTTGGCAAGGCCAGGCTGGGACTCTGGCTCCCGGGAGGAGGCTAGGTCTCCTGCAGTGTATGAGAGCCTAGGTGTGGCTGCCCTAGAGAGAACTTGAGTCACCTCAAGTTCCCAAGATGCCTGATGCCCCCGGGATGAGTGCCCACTAGTGTGTGTGCCCAAGGGAGCACTGTCCTTGAGGTGCAGAAGGAACTGGGCTAGAGTAGCCTTCTAGAGTGCCTGTCTCTGGAGTCTGAGCTTCCCAGGACATGCCCCCACGGCTAGATGTCCAGGCTGGAGCCTGGCACGGGGCCATGGACACTGACCACACACACTGACCACACCCCCATCTTCTCTCTCTGTGTTCTAGGATAACCTCAGAGAATGTAGCTGAGCGCTTTGGCATTTCACGGGAGAAGCAGGATATGTTCGCGCTGGCTTCCCAGCAGAAGTGAGTGCTGCTTGGGGTGGGGTGGTTCCAAGCACTGGAGAGAACAGCCCTTGTCAGTTTGGGGCCATCCTAGCCGTCGGTTTCCAAGCTGCATTCCTCTCAGGAGGGTGAGGGGCCAGGGCCCCAGGGTGCCCTATGGCTGTGTGCAAACCACGTGCCTCCTAGGTGGGCCTGTTCCCCCGTCTAACCTCAGGGTGCATCATGAGGCCTCTAATTGGCTACAATTGCCGACTGGACTTAGTAGCTACTAGCTGCTCTGTATAGCACAGAATGTGGGGTTGGTGATGCTGGGGACCCTGGCATCCCTGCTTCTGGGACTCCTGGATCTGGGCTATTGTACCGAGGAAGACAGGGGCTTGGGCACCTGAAGCTGACAAGCCTCAGCTGCCCGGAGAGAGGGTAGCAAAGTAAGGGAGGGGGTCTGGGCCTAGGGGTTGTCACCCCTCGGGTTGAGCAGCCACCTGAGAGTTGGTGAAAGCTGTGGGTTCCGCCCCATGGGAATGCCCCAAGGTACTTAAATCTGACCAATCCCAAAGATCGCCCTAAAGTGTTGTGCATTAGGCTGTTCAAATAGTTGTTTAAACTATCTGGCGAAACTTGGGGAAAATGGGAACAGATGAAATTGCGCCCTTGGGCTCCAGCCTCAGTTTAGTACAAAGAGCAGAGCAGGCTGCGTCCCTTGAGCAGGGCTCAGAGAGGAGCCACCAGCCCCAAACCTCTTCCCCTGTGGGTTGGCCAGGGCCTAACTATGAGGCAGCTGGTGAAGAGGGCCGGTAGCTTTGGGCCTCGCACCCCCAGGGTGATGGAAGTAGGAAGGGGCCCACACCCTCAGAGCTCCCCCAGGGAGCCGCATTACACCCCTGCATTTAGCAGCATAAGCTGGTGAGTCTGCCCCGACGGGCGGGCAAGGACTTAAGGAGTCTGAACTGGAGTCTCCTTTTGCCGGCAGGGCAGCCAGAGCCCAGCGCAAGGGCTGTTTCCAAGCGGAGATTGTGCCTGTGACCACCACAGTCCACGATGACAAGGGCTCCGAGAAGAGAATCACGGTGGCCCAGGATGAGGGGATTCGCCCCAACACTACCATGGAGGGCCTGGCCAAGCTGAAGCCTGCCTTCAAGGCGGGTGGCTCGACCACGGCTGGTGAGACTGAGCTGGGGGTGGGGTGGGGTCACAGCCCGAGAGTGCTCTCTGGGAGCAAGGGGCAGACCAGGCCTCCACACGCTGGGCAAGGGAGGGCTGCGCCTCGTCAGCCCTGCTCTGAGGCCACCTTCCCCTCTGCTTTGCCTCCAGGAAACTCGAGCCAAGTGAGTGATGGCGCAGCTGCCATCCTACTGGCACGGCGGTCCAAGGCAGAAGAGTTGGGCCTTCCCATCCTGGGGGTCTTGAGGTCCTATGCGGTGGTTGGAGTTCCCCCTGATGTCATGGGCATTGGACCTGCCTACGCCATCCCTGTCGCTCTTCAAAAAGCAGGTAAGGTGGCTCCTAGCAGGTGCCAGAGCTTGTGGGTGCTAAGATGAATGTAGGTCAGCTGGCACCATTATCCCAACCCTTCCGACCCACCCATCTGGAGCAGAGAGAGACTCCAGGCAGTCCCTGGATGGGCCGGGCCTGGGAGCCCTGCTAGGGCAAAGTGGTCGGCTCAGTCTTACCCCCTACCTGCAGGGCTGACCATAGATGACGTGGACATCTTTGAGATCAACGAGGCCTTTGCAAGTCAGGTGAGCCTTTTTCTCCACATGGTCTGGGTCCGGGGTGGCCCAGCAGGAGGTAATGGGCATGTGATCCAGGGGCCTCCAGCTGACGCTCTGCCTCCTCCCAGGCTGTCTACTGTGTGGAGAAGCTAGGCCTCCCCCCTGAGAAGGTGAACCCTCTGGGGGGTGCAGTGGCCTTGGGTCATCCACTGGGCTGCACCGGGGCTCGACAGGTGGTCACGCTGCTCAACGAGCTGAAACGCCGTGGGAAGAGGTAACGCTTCTCCTGGGAAGCGCCTGAGTGGGGCACGTAGGTGTGCAAACAATCCCCTCTGAACTGATTCAGGGGCGCGGTCCAGACAGGGACCCGGCCCACAGCAGGCACTGCCACCACGTGTGCGTGCCAAACTGCGTGCCCACCAGGTGCCCATGAAAGCCGGGGTCCATCAGCTCAAGCTGGTTTGGGGCGCTTGGCGGCTGAGCTGCTGCCCTCCGTGTTCTCACCCACCCGCTTTGCCTTCCCAGGGCATATGGAGTGGTGTCCATGTGCATCGGGACAGGCATGGGAGCCGCGGCTGTGTTTGAGTACCCCGGGAACTGAGTGCGGCCCCGCCAGAGACGCTGCGTGGCAGCCCTGTGTGCCCAGCGAGAAGCGACACTACAAACGGGAGGCCTCGTGGGGACATGCAGCACTGGTGGTGGCAGCCGGCAAACGAAGGCATCGCACCTAGTTGGGAACTGGACACTGCTGGCGGCCTGGGGAGGGGCTGCCCCGTCTCACTGGGCCAGCGCCGTCCCGGGTCACAGGGCCCCCCTGTCATCTTGGGGGAAGGAGCCTCATGGCGAAGGAACACTCTAGACGTGTAGTAAACGTGCTAGGCACAGCTCGGTGCTTGTGCTCCTTTCCGAGGGCCGCGCCGTCTGCGTAGAGATTCTTAACTGCCGTGGTCTTTGCTGGGATTCTCTTGTGTGCCCTTGCCCAGCAAACCTGTGCCTTGGCACTGGACCATGTTTATTTCCAAAGCTGGGTGGCTGAGGGCGGAGCCTCAGAGCTGGTGGGGTGACACGTATCTCTCATCATGAGAGCCTTGGCCCCTCAGGCGTAGGGTGCAGACCTTCTCACCGAGGGCGCCTTCCACCGCCAGCGTGGACTCGTATAGCTGACTGCTCCTGTGGCGAGCGCGGCTCGGGTTAGGGTGCGGCAGGCCAGGGCACTGCCAGGGTGGTTGGGAAGGGCCATACCTGGCAGTGAAGAAAATCTGCAGGGTGATGGAGGTTGGGGGTGCGTTAAGTGATCTTGCCTCCAGCAGCCCACTTCTTGGGGAGACGCTGAAAGCCATAGGGTCCTTGTCCGGCTGGCCTGCCCAAGGGGAAAGGAGCACACAGAGGGCTGGAAGCTCTATGCGCCTCCCCGGGACCCACACTGCATCTCAGGTGCGCAACCCTGGGACCACCGGCAGGAGTCGCTGCAGGGCTCTCCCAGCGAGCAGGAGGGCCCGACTCACCCATCAGCACGGCCCAGTAGCTGCGGCACCTGCCCAGGTTCAGCAGGGAGACCTCCCGCACCCGCCTCTGGTCCACAAAGCAGGTCCCGAAGTCCACCCAGCTGGTGGAGAGCTGCAGCTCAGGCACGGCCACGATGGCTCGCAGGGGCACCACCTGGTGGGCACACTTGAACCTGGCAGGTGGCCCTACCCAGGCCACTGGCCACTGAGCTGGGTGTCGGGCCCAGGGGGCCACCAGCAAGTGCTGAAGCCTCAGAGCACCAGCATGTAAAACAGAGGCTGCTGCTGGGAGTCTGCGGGGAACGGCGAGGGGGTACCAGGTGTGTACCCTGACACCCTCTCAAGCTCTGGCTTCTGCTCCCTGGTCAGGCCACCCTCTTGGGTCCTCTCCTCCACCACCATCCCCAGCCCCCACCATGAGGCCTGGTCCTCTGCACGTCTCAAGCACTGGGCTGTCCCCCTTTGCTGCTGCATGTTGTGGTCTGGTGGCCCCCATCTGTGGTACCCACCCTGGTCTTCAAAGCCCCCCGTGAGGGGTGTTGTCCCTCAGCTGTCTCACTGTCCCCACCCATCAGCCCCTTCCCTTGCTGTCCTTCAGTGTGAATTCTCAATCAGGAGACTTCACCCGTCCTCTCTTCATGAAGCCTTCCCCGATTTCCCACCCTACAGTCTCACAGGGCTCTGAACTCCCAGAACGGGTGAGATGAACCACCATCTCTCCACATTTACAAGGCCTCTTCCAGGCCATCGGGCCAGGGCTCCTCTTACTTCTGAGCCACTTGCTGGCGTCTGTCCTCTGACCCCACCAGAACAGAGTCCTGCCTAGTCCCCCCGCCTCACCTCGGACAGGCCAGGGGCTCACCTGGGTGGTCTGGTTGCTGTACTCTAGTAGCAGAGTCTGCGTAAACACCATCTCTTTCTCTCCACTGGTGCTCTGCTGAATGTCCACTCCGGGCAGCATCTGGTCAGCTGGGAGCTTCTGATAGGAGAGCAGCTCCAGGGAGAGGGAGAAGGACACATTCACCTGAAACGTGGACAACGCATCACCTCAGGCTGAAGGTGCCCACCCCCCCCCCATCCCAGCTCTGTCCCCCTCCCCTCCCACCACCCCAGCAGGGACACCAAGGTCCGAGGGGAGACTGTAGGGCACCCCTGACCAGCATGTTCTCCTGCGGGCGAAGCACCAGCTGCTGGCTGGCCACTGCTGTCCCCTCGTCACACTCCAGCTGCCGGCGGGGGCTGGGAGCTCGCTTCCTGGGGCTGGCCCCGTCTTGAGAAACAGAAAACGGCTTGGCGACCAGGAGCCGGAAGCAGTGTGGGATGTCCGTGGTGTTGGTAAGCTTCAGGTGGTGGGTGGTCACCCATTCACTCAGCACCTGGGTGGCCAGAGGTGGAGCTGGAGCTCTGTTTCCCTCTTCCTCTAGTCCACGGCTCAGATGAGGGAGGTGGGGAGGGGACTCGGACTCTAAGACCCGTGCCCTAGGGGGCCTTGAGGTGCAGTGGGCAGCACACTCACCCCAGAGTCAGGCTGCTCAGGGATGAGCTCACTGGCCTGGAGCTGGAATACCACGCCGCCACCGTAGTCTGGCTCCACACTTAGCCTGCCGAGGGCAGGTGCTGTTAGAGCAGGTGGGCTTTGGGAGCCTCACGGTCACCCCCTGCTCTGCTCACTGACCCTGGGCTCACGTACTGCTTCCTCCCGCTTCTACCCTACTCCCAGCCGCCTAACCCGTCCCATCGGGGGCTTGTCCTGGGAGGGTGCATGGGTCAGCCGCCGACTGACTCACTGTGCAGGCCTCACACAGCTGTGCAGGTCCAGCCTCAGGGGTCCCACGGCGAGATCCTGCAGACGCCGCCGCCTCCCTGGCAGCTCCCGCTCCACCTTCCAAGAACTAGCCTGATCACTGGAGGTTCCCGAGCTGAGCAGGCAGTGTGCCCCCCCAGACTAGCCTGGCCGTGACTAGTCCCCCAGGCCAGGTGGGCTCACCTCATCGTCCAAGCTCATGAAGCCCAGGGCGTAGCCCGTGCATGCCACCTTGTGCAGGACCTCGGGGCCGAGGACCGGGGGTGTGAAGGAGATGCAGATGGTGCTGCTGCCCCCAGCGGGGACCACCTGGCACAGACACGTGGCTTCAGCACTGGCCTGTGCCCACGGCCAGCCTCGGGGCTTGGCGAGGCGGCACCCAGCCTGCCCCAACTTACCACTTGCTTGGGGCTGATACTGTACAGGTGGTCTGAGGGCACCCCGTCGTGCTCCCGCAGGACAACCGAGATAATCTGCATGGCCCCATCTCTGGCACTGGCACTGCTCTCGGCCTGCCATCAGAGTTGCTGAGGCTTGCGCTGGCTCGAGGCAGCGGGTCACACCTCAGCACACAGCCACTCTGCCCCTCCCACTGCTCACAGACAGGCTGGTGTCCTGGCTGAATTCCGACACACTGGGACTTGCGGACCAGAAGAGGCTGCCACTCTCGGGGGTCTTGGGGCATGTGAGCTCATTCCCGGCTTGGTCCAGCAGTGGGAAATGTGGCCCATAAAACACCAGCAGCTCCAACAACTGGTCCTTCTCTTCTTCCGGAACATAGGTCTGCCAGTCCAGGCGGATGTCTGGAGACAGGCGGGGAGAGGAGTAAGGCCAGCAGATGGCTCTCTGGCTCTGTAGCACCTGAGGCCACCTGTCCCACACTCTGGCTGGGGGGGAGCCTTGACTCCTTTCAAATGCCACTTGCAGGCATTTTTTTTTTTTTTTTTTTTTTTAAAAAAGGTCTCCAGACTGCCATTTGGCATTGTCACCTCTAAGCTCCCAGGACCACGAGACCAACTCTTCAAACACACGAGTCCAGGCAGTCTGAGATCTCTCCAGGCCTCTGCTCCTGCCCCGTTTCTGACCACTCTGGGCGCTCTGAACTGTGTGTGCGTCTCAGCTTCTCCCCTGCCACCCACCAGCCCGTCTGCTTTCCTTCCCAGCAGGGCTAATCTCAGGGGTACTTGAACCCATTTGCCCCCGTTATATCCACTTGGCAAAATCTAACCCAGGATGAACTGAACTGATTCTGGGTCCCACTGGAGAAAACCCCTCACTTTCTGAACAGCTTACCACACCCATAGATCTATCCCCAACCTAAATGGGGCCTGCACTCTGGTAGACATAGATAAGCAAGGGTATAGCTATCGAGTGGTGATTCTCTCCTTCCTTACCCAAGGAGTTAAAGTCCACTGTGCCAGGCCCTATCCCAGTGATGGCCAGTGGGGAGCTGCCACCACTCTTGCTAAGGCCAGCACTCCAGCCCTCCCCCCGGCCCTCATCCTGACACCCCAGGACAGGGGAAGCCTGGGCCCGGCAAAGCAGCCCAGACACTCAACACGTGGCCTGCCCATGTCCATCCTGGCCCATGGCAGACTCCATCCTGTTTCCTGTGAGCCCCAGCTCCTGGCACAGCACCTGGGTTGTCACTGACTGAAGGAAAGCAACGAGAAGATGCGTTCCCTGCTAGTGGCCGTCCCTATGCAAAGCAACCCTGACGTGAGCAGGGGAAATGGTCCCATGGACCCTGGGAGACCCAAGGGCTTGACAGGGGCCGGTCCTATCCTCAAGGATGGAGTGATGCTGCCCATTGGGCCCTCTACCCTCACCCAGCAGCCACCTGGACTCATCTGCCCTAGCCGGAAACCCCACGACACAGCCTCGCACCAATGCCTGTTTATCACGCATCTCACCACAGGGGCTGGAGTTGTTCAGGCGAATGACTCGGGTGACTGTGTCTCCTCCAGAGACCTGGGTGCGGAACCTGCAGGCAGGAAACCAGGTCCCAGGAGGCCGCCGTCAGCACTCATCTCGTACAGGGGCTTGCTTCAGAGAGGAGGGCCGGGAGGGGGCCCAAGCAGGAGGACCCCACAGTTGCCTGGCGTCAGAGTCCCTCAGCTACCCTGCACCAGCCGCCCAGACCCCAGTGAGGTGCACCAGAGCTGCCGCTGTCCTTGGGCCACGCTGACTACTCACTACATCCACCCCCAGAGCCTTCCTGGCTATGGAGGGGGCAGCCACGTCCCCTGAGGCCTCTCTCCTTCAAGGCGGCCCTGTCCTGGGCTCTCCTGCTGGGTGGGACCCAGTGGCCCTGGGCCGGCTGGGCTAGGTGGAGGCCAGGTTTCCAAGAGCAGAGGGGGCGGGCACCTGACCACAGGCTCCTTCTGGCACTGGCCAGCCATGGCGTAGGTGGTCCTCTGGGAGCTGATGGGGCAGCCCACCACTGCCATATGCACCGGGATCACTGTGGGCGGCAGGTCTCCCACCTGGGAACACATAGCGTGACACATAGCGTGCCTCGGGCGCTCTCATCACCGGCTGTCCCCACATTCCCTGGCTCCCCGCTCCCTCTGCATGAGGCCTGCCCCTCTCCAGCCCCCCAGCCCTAGTCTCTGATGCTTGGGCCCAGGTTGCTTGCCCCAGACACCACAGTTCAGTGGCATCACCTTTCTACCTGGTGAGACTGGAGAGGCTGAGGGCCAGGTATTGGAGGAGAATGAGCCTGGAGGCGGGCTGGGCCAGCTCCCCTCCACCCCAGACCACTACCCGCCTATATGCCCTTACCGTGCAGACGAGGTTATCCCAGTATTCACCCCACATGTTGGCACAGCCTGTGATGTTGATGCTGAGCTGCTGGTGGCCCCCCAGCATGCCCTGGGGAACCTGGGGAAAGAAGGCAGCTCCCTTCCCATGGGACAACATGCGTTCCATCAAGACTGGGGGAGAACCAGGCAGATTCAGGATCTCAGATGCAGAATTGAGGTTCAAGCACTCAGATGTTAGCAAAGCTACCCCCCTCCCCCACAGCCTCCCTTGGACCAGCAGAACACTCCCTGGGAGCACACCTGGCTACCTGGGCCAGCTCTCTGAGCTCCCGCGGAGCCGGGCATTGCCCCCTTCGGAGCCAACATCCCTCCCAGCTCAGTCAGGCCCTGTGCCTGAACCTCACACCCTGGCCGGGGGAGGGCCTCGTTTAAAAGACAGCACCATGAGATGGAGGGCCTCAGTCATCACGGGACCCTGTCTGGAAACACACTGGTGGCCTCTGGTCCTGGTTCCCTCCCTGGCAGCATCTGATACACATCCTCAGAAGGACACTTCAAACCCTGTCCCACTCTGGGGCCCTTACCCTGCTGCTCCCGCTTGGCCAAGAGCTCTTGAGTACGCGCCGTCTTCAGCAGAGTCAGGGGCAAGTCAGGGCTTTGTGAGACAGGACACAGAAACAGCACCAAGCTGCCGGGTCCTTCCCCAGCCCTGAGCCGCCAGCATCACAGCAGGTGCCCAGCAGAGGGAGGTGGCCCTGCCTGCTCTTCCCAGCCTGCCCCGGAAGCTTCACTTTCTCCTCCACCCTTTGCTCCCGCTGCCCCCTGGCACGCAAAGCATCCCAGCTACAGGCCACCCGCCAGCCACAGGAGTTGCCGTCTAAGCAACTAAGGGGCTGTAGACTCCCCTGGTGACCCCTGAGAGCACCCAGGCTCTGCCCTGCTGTCTCTTGCCCAGCCTTCTGGGCAACTGCCAATTTCTGTGGTGTAACTACTTTCACCCTGGCTGACTTCAAGTTACAGCTTTGCAGAATGCCCGAATAGCTGCTGGCTGGCTCTCCGGGTGAGTGCTAGCTAAGTCTGCAACACAGCTTGTGCCACCATGGATGTATGCGTGTGTGGCTCTTGGTTTGCCCATGGGCCAGAGCAGCGGTGCTATTCTTTCTCATCTACTGGGTGTCCCCAAGGGACCTCTTGCTCCCTGACCTCCACTGTTCCCGCACACCATGGGCTCTCACACTGCCACCCCTCTGCCCACACAGCTCCCTCTGGCTGTAGCATCCCCGACCCTGTTCACAGGCTGAATGCTGCCTGGCCTAGCAGCAGCCCCACACCTCGCAGGCCAGGCCTCTTCCACAGGTCTTCCCCTGGGCCTGGGAGGTGGGCAGCAGAAGCCACTGTCCATCTGTGAAAACATGCTCACACCCCTCAAGGCAACCAGCCTCCAAACACCTCAGGCCCAACGGGGCAGGCCCCACCGGCCACAGCTTCCCCAGAACATCCTCTGAAAGCAGACTTACAGGCTGGGCTTCTGGTTTATGTTGTCTTGGCTCCCAAAGAACTCAAACTTGAGGGTGAAAGGGGTCTGAATTGGGGAGTAATTGGTCAGAATGAGCTGGCGAGTCACACGGGTCCTCAACGGCACTGCTGAGCCAAAGTCCAGGCGGTGCTCCTCGGGGTGACCCGGCCACAGCTCTGCGATGGAAACACTGCCCATGGCCATGGGCACTAGGTTACATGCCAGCCTTGGGAGCCACCATGGGTATCCAGAAACCAGGTTTCATCTTTGGACTCTCACTTCATTCATTGGAACCCCACCAAAAACCCCCTTACTGGCTATTCATACTACCAAGGAGTTTCAAACTCCCCACAAATTCTCCCTGTCCCAGAACACACAGGCCTGTCTCCCACTTGCTGGGTCTCCTGTGGAAGGCCCAAGGTGCCTAGAGAGCCCTGTCCTCTGAAATCTCCCTGCCTGGACAATGCACCCTCCACACACAGGCCCAGGATGGGGCTCCACAGATGTGGTGAGTGGCCACCATGTCACTGTTGCCTTTTCCTGGCTGTAGGAATTGGCTGGTACCAATAGTCTAGTACCACAGTGCCAATGCTGGCCCTCTGTGTGGTCGCCTCAGGCCTGGCCCCAACTCTGGGCTCACCTGTCTTCAGAGCCCTCGGGAGAGATGGTGATGGCCACTTGCAGTCCCCGAGGCTTCCCAGAAATTCCCAGCACCAGAGGCTTCTTCATGCCAGACACATGGCAAGGCAGGGCCAGATCGGTCAGCTCTTCCTACAAGACACCCGTCCAGGGTACACCACTACAGGTAATTCCCAGGGCTGGGCCTCAGAAGATGGCACAACGGTCTTCCACAGCACAGGTATTTGTTGTGGGGGGGGGCCTCGAAGTGAAGGCCTTGACTGCTCTCCAGGTTCGTCCTTGTGGAAGGCCTTCTCAATCCCCCCAGTGAGCCACCACCCTCAGGCCCAGCCTGTTGGCCCACACCCTGCTCCCCAGGAGACCCTGCCCCTTCCGCAGAGCTCCTGGCTATGCATCTGCCTCAAATACTGGGGCATGTCCGTATGAAGGGAGACCTCTTCACAGTGGGCTTCTGGAGAAACTGCACACTTATCCTATAACACTGCTACCATAAAAATCCAACCCCTTCCTGAGGAGCTCTATGACAGGCCTGGGCCCATCTGTCCTTCTAGAAGTCAGGGCCAACTGTGTGAGAAAGCCACTTTCCTTGGGTGGGATGGGCATCTTCAAGAAAGAGATTTCCTTCCCACAAGAGCCACACAGAGATCACCAGGGACCTCACAGCCTCTTCTGCCCTGACGGTCTTCCTGGGGGTCAAGCCCAGGAAAAGCGGCACCTCCAGCAGCACCAGTGGCATGGGGCCTGCCCTGAGCAGCAGCTCTACACTGGACATCTGGGCAAACTGCAAAGCAGGTGACCACCTGTGGCCACCAAAATGGCCCGGGGAAGCTGACACTGGTGCCATAGGTGAGCCACGGCCAGTAGATTTGGGGCACAGCCAGGCCTGCTCCCTGTGTCCCACAGGAATGGAGAAGCCAGAGCCAAAAGAAAAAGCCTCTCCCCCAGCACAAAGATCAGGTGTGGGCTCTGAGGCGGCCCCTGTGCCTGCACAGGTGTAGAAAGTGCCATCCCGTCAGACCCAGCCCCCAGCTCACCATGGTGTGAGCAGTCAACTCCAGGTCGAGCTGGCACTCCTCGCTGGGGCCCAGCGTGCCTTGTCTGGGGGAGATTCTTGCCGTGCACAAGCTTGCTTGATGTCCCAGGAGCTGGCAGACACAACGGTGGGCATGTTGTCATGTGCCGGTCACTGAGGACAGACCCAGCCCAGACAGTGCCCAGCCCCGTTGCGTGGCCCATGGGAGATTCCCTTCCCTTTTCTCCAGCTAGACCACACATCTAACGGGGTGCCTCTGAGGGGCCAGTGGATGGGGAGCAGAGGGCAGCAGCCTCTGATGCACCAAGTGTGGCCCTCCTCTCCCATGGCCCCACAGTGAGGTGCCAGAGCTGTGTGGACCATCGTGGGCAAGGCCGGCGTAAAGGTCTACCTCGTTCTAGAAACTCCTGGGGCAGAGCAAGGAAAAACCCCAGCAGAAGCGTTTCCCTTAGGAGAAGCCCAGCTTTTCCAAGTACTGCGGGCTGAGGAACAGGCACGGAAGGGAGCCACGTGTCTGTTCTGGGGGCCCCCAGGGAGCGATGTCCCGCAGCAACACATCCCTTGGCGTGGAGAGCTCGCTCACCTTGCCCCAGTGGAACTGGGTGGGCAGGAGCGTGCCATTGATGAGGGTGACGGCTGCCTTTGCGGGCACGCCCAGGTAGAGCTTGCTGACCTCCACCTGGCTGCTCTGCAGGTACACGTAGGGCAGCTGCACCTCGGCATACACGGGAAGGTAGCTGAACACGGCAACACAAGGCAAACTAGTCAGAAAGGAAGAAGCAAAACTGTCCCTGTTTTCAGGTGACGTAACATTTTACTTTGAACATCCCAATGAGTCTGTATTTTAAAAATCCTTAGAACTGAGTTCAGCAAATGTACAGGGTACAAAATCAACACACAAAACTCAACTCCAGGCTAGCAATGAACATGTGGAAGCCAATTAAAAAGGCGTTGCCATTTCTAGTGGCAGATATCTGGGTAGAAGTCAAATAATGCATGCACAGGACTGGTGTGCTGAAAGCAGAACTCTGATGAAAGAAACTGATCCAGCCATTCACAGAGAGAGCCAGTGGGTCATGAATTTAAAGAGGCAACACGGTGAAGATGTCAATTCTCCTCCAAATGGCTCTGTAAGTTTGACACAACTTTTATCAAACTCCCATAAAAACTTGTAGACAAAGGCAAGTTTATAAAATTTGTATGGAAAGACAAAAGACACAGAATAAGAAAGTGGAAGGACCCCACTGTGCTGTGGGCGCTGGGTCTCTAGAGCTACAGTCATCGAGACAATGGTGGGGGAACAGACGCTGCTCAGCAAAACACAGAAACCCCAGAAACTGACCCACACCAGTATGTCTGAGTTTTTGGGTTGGGTTTTATGTAGGAGAAGTGGCATTGGCATTATTTTGCTTTTAATTTTAAGCTACTTTTAGATCAAGATCACATGCAGCGCTCTCTCTCTCTCTCTCTCTCTCACACACACACACACACACACAGCCCAGAGGGATCCTGCACACTCTTGGACTGCACCTCGTGGTAACATCTTACATAGCTAAGTGTCGTATCACAACCAGAAGATCAACGTTGATACAATCCAGCAATGTCACTCAGCCCTCACACCAAGCTGACACGCACTCAATTGTGTGTCTTCACTTCTGTGCAATGCTGTCGCATGGGTAGAGAAATATGACATCACCACCAGTGAGACATAGAAGTGTGCCATCACAAGGGCACACAGAACTTGATGCAACCTTTTATCGACACAGGACATGGTCACTTCTTGCTCCTCCTCCCTTCCTTTCTCCTTGTAACCACTGATCTGTACTTCAGCTCTATAATTTAAGGATGCTATATAAAGAAAGTCATTCAATATGTAACTTTTTTTTTAAAGAATTTATTTTATTTGTACATACAGAACTGGGGTACAGGCCAGAGATGCAGAGGGTGAGAGAATTCACCAGGGACAGAGTGGGCAGCAGAACAGGCAGATCGACGAAGTACACTGCTGAGGGGAGCAGCGGGCAGGCCAGGAGAGGTCTGCTGCGCCATGTGGTCACGGGGCAGACGGGAATCGAACTCATGCGGAAGTGGCTTTAGCTTCTCAGTGCAGTGCTTTAACCCACTGCACCACCAGGGAGGGTGGGCCCTCAATATGTAACTTTTGATATTTACTTTTTTTGCCAAGAATTCCTTAGAAAGCCATCCATGTTGAGTGTATATTGAGTGTGTTGACAATGCTTTTTCATTGCTGAGAAATATTTCATGATATGGGTGAACACTTTATTTAAATTATTCACCCAATTGCAAAAAAAATTCAGTGGGGGAAAGATAATCTTTCCATTAATGATACCAGAGGAATTCACTATCTACAGGCAAAAATAAAACTTCTAGTACACCTCACAACTTAGATGAACATTAATTCAAAAGATATTATAAACTTAAGTGTAAAACTATAAAGTTTTTAGAAAGTGATAGGAGAAAATCTTTAGGACCCCAAAGCACAATCCTTAAGAGGGAAAATGCAGTAAACTCCATCTCATCAAAATTAAGAACTTTTGTCCTTTGAAAGATTCTTTTTCTTTCTAAAGACAGAATTATTGACTGGGAAAAAAAAATTAAACCACATATAGAACAAAGAGGTGGTTTCTAGACTATATAAACTCTTATAATTTGAGAATAAAATAATCCAATTAGGATATCAAATTGTTAAAAAAGTTCATCAAATAGGGCCCTCCCTGGTGATGCAATAGGTTAAAAGCACAGCACTATGAAGCTGTCCGCAGCCACTGCAGCACAAATTCTATCCCTAGCCAGGGAGCTGACCCACATGATGCACACCTCTCCTGTCTCGCCTGCTGCTCCCCTGAGCAGTGTATTTCAGTACATCTGCCTGTTCTGCTCCTTGTCTCTGGTGAATCCTCTCACCTACCACACCTCTGGCCTATATCTCTGTATGCAAAAATAAATAAATCTTTAAAAAAAAATTCACCAAATAGGATACAGAGATGGCAAATCAGCACATGAGATATGTTGAAAATCATTAGGGATTAGAAAGTATAAATTAAGGTCACCACAAGTATGTAGTGATATCCTCACACATCAGGATGGTCTACATAAAATACAGCAGCAATTCCTCCAGGGTGGAGAGAAACGGGATCACTCACATCTTGCTTGGAGAAATTAGGATGGTTCAGCCACTGTGCAATATTTTATCATGAAGGTAAGTGTTTACCCTCTTACCCTGTAACCCAGCAATCCTACTCCTGAATATTCACCCCAGAGAAAGGAAAGCCTATATACAAGTGGCAGGTTTACTTTCAACAACCCAAACCTGGAAACAGCCCAATTAACTCTCCTTTGGCGGTTGCTTTAACAGACATATTCTCACTACAGAATTCTACCCACAAGGAGGGAGTGGACAGCTCTCGAGGGAATTACGCTGAGTTCTTTTTTAAAAACACAAGAGCCCATCTTCCTAATACCATTTGATTCCATTTATAAACAGTCTTGAAAAAAAATATTCTAGAGAGGGAGAATTTTGGTTTGATAATTCTCAAGCCTTGGACACACCTGAGTCTTCTCCCCTCAAACCAGGTTTCCCATGACCATTTATCAGGCTGCATGATTTCTTTTTGGCTGACAGTGGGGTGACGTGGGGAAACTGGAACTGACAGAGCCTCCGTGCCAGGCTATATGTTTACCTGGCTGGGGCGGGGCTGTATTTACTATTTGTTGCAGTTGTAAGTGTCCGAGGCCTAGGGTCCTCCAGCACCTTTTTCTCCTCTTGGTTCTCTCAGTGCAGCCTTGTCACACACCCCGGTGGTTAGCTACAGGGGACAGAATGTCCTGCAATCCTCTGACAGGTCTCAGTCTCCTAGTGGCCTTTGTCCCTGGGCTGTGACCTTCACAAATGTGTCTAAGAGTGGCTCCCTCTTTGAAGAAACAGGAAGGCGAGGAGGACACGGGGGTTGGGTAATTATCCTTCCCCCTCGTCACAGAAAGCTCTGGTAAAATCTTTTCCCTCCCGGGTATGACCTGCCTGCAGAGAATACGCTGGGCTCATTACACAGTAACTGCCTTTCCTCCGAGGATATCTTACAACTCTGACATGCTCGCTTCCTCCCACACCGAAGTACAGACTTTTTTCTCCAGTTTCACAATGAAACTATGTAAGTACCCAGCGTTTTCAACTGTCACACTAGGCCACACAAGCTCCAGGAATCTGCTCAAGCTCCTGTTCCAGTTTCTGCCGTGGGCAAACTGGTCAGTATTCTATTTGCCTACGAATCCAGTTTCGGGGGGCTGGCTGTTTGTTCTGTGATCTCAATTCTCTGACGGGAAGAAAAGTTACTGTCTTTCAGTTCATTCAGCTATTTTCAAGCTATGAGGGCCGAAGTGACAATTTGTATGAACATAAAAAAAGGACCAAAAAATGACATGATCATTTTAATAGATGCAAAAAAAAAAAAAAAGATTCAATATGCTCTAACATTCTCTTAGGAGAAAAACAAAAAGCAAAGTAGAAGAGATCTTATTTAGCCTCATAGAGGACACCCACAAAACCCCTACAGTTAACATCACACTTGATGGTGAAAGCCTGAAGGCTTTCCTTTTAAGAGTAGAACAAGACTCTTACTCAACATGCATGCTGGGCCCATTAAGACCATTACCAGGTCAACACACAGAAAAGAGGGGCTCAAGGACAGGAAAGTGATGGAGTAGAGGAAGGAATGCAGGTTGAGAGGAAGTAGAAGACCAGACAAAGGACTTTAGAGGCCCTGAACTCAGCGGGGAGGGAATGCCCATCACAAGCCAGTGACTCTCCTTTGGCCTAAGTTGGTTACATCTATTTCCACCACTTGCAAATGTAAAACCTGCTGATTAAAACAAGGTCCTTTAAGAAGAGAAAACGAGGGCCTCCCTGGTGGCACACAACAGGTTAAGTCTCAGCACCAGCAAACTATCACCAGCCACTGCTCACATGGTGCAGCAGACGGCTCCTGTCTCACCCGCTGCTCCCCTTAGCAGTGTGTTTCAGTCAGTCCACCTGTTCTGCTTCCCACTCTTGTCTCTGGTGAACCCGCTCACCTTCCCCACACCTCTGGCTTACACCCCAAGTCTTATATGCATAAATAAGTAAATCCTTAAAAAAAAAAAAAAAGAAAGAAAGAAAGAGGGAGAGAGGGGAAGGAGGAGACAGGAACTATCTTCCCAGAATGCAACGGTATCGCTCATTTAAGCAGGCCAAGCGTGTGTGGGCCCCTTCTCCCGGGGGGAACGCGGTGAACGCGTATCTCCGCGGCTGGGAGCGTGGGGGCGCGGGGCTCCCACCAAGTGTGCGTGTCCCTGGGAGAGTATCTACAAGGGCCAAAGCTGGGTGGCAGGGCGTGAGTAAGTAGCGCTTTTTTGGGTCACCGTGAAGCGGGGAGGAGGGGTGTTGGTGCTCATTTACATTCCTTTATCACACACAATCTAGAAAGAACTGCTCCAACATATGACTAGTGAACTATCTCCAGGTAATGGATTTTACATAATTTCCAAATTTCACAAAAGAAACACTAGCAATACCTTTCCATTTGGAAAGTTAAGTACAGACACCTACATACGGCAAATGGAAGCATATCCAGCGGCATCGAGAGGAGACAGCTGCCAAGCTGGCCTCAGGATGTTACCCCAGAGAGCCACCCTGATGAAGACCCAAGACCTCGAACAAACGGGACGGCCGACCCTAAGGACCGCGTGGCTCTCCCACTACCTCCAGCCCCAGCTCCTACACTGAGGTGACTCCCGGACCTCCCGCTGGGGAGCTGGGGCCTCGCCTGCCGGGGAGCGCAATAAAGCCTTCCCCTCTTTTACTTCTGTCTCCTTGCCTTATTCTATTATCCTCGGGACCTTACAACACCTCACTCACCTGATGTAAACAAACTCAGTATCCTTCAGTACACTCTTGGGGTGCTCCCCTTGCCCCCTTACCTGCAGGGCCCGTTCACCACCTGCAGCTCCAGGACGGTCTGCAGGCGCTGGCAGCACAGGGCCTCCAGGGCGATGCTCACCCTGCACTCCCCCAGGGGCGGGATCTGGCCGCTGGAGGGCTCAATGTCCAAAGGAGACACCTGGTCGGGAGGTCAACCCAGAAGGAAGGAGGGGAGGCCACTGGAATTGGAACCAGGGTTGCCCCCCAAAGCTGCCCCCTGCCAAAGACCATCTGCAGGCGGGGGAGCACCGCAGAGCAGTGTCTCAGGATTAAGAGAACAAAAGGGGCCCCCCCTGGGGGCGCAACGGGCCCCCCCTGGGGGCGCAACGGGCTAAAGCCCAGCACTATGAAACTCTCCAAAGCCACTGCAGCATGAGCTCGATCCCTGGAGGTGACCCACATGGTGCGACAGACCTCCCCTGACCCGCCCGCTGCTCCCCTCAGCAGTGTATTTCACCTGCTGTTCTGCTCCCCACTCTGTCTCTGGTGAAGCCTCTCGCCGCCCCTGCACCTCTGGCCTATACCCCAGTTCTGTATGCATCAATCAATAAATCTTTTTTTTTTTTTTTTAAATAAAGGAGAGTGAGAGAACAAAAACTCATCTCCAGAGCCAGATCGGAGGGGAAGGCAGAGGAACATGCCACGGGGGTGTGGGGCTGGGAGCATCCTCTCTCCTGCAGCAGGTTAGGACCCTGGCAGTGTTAAAGGAAGGCCACCCCTCACTTCCCCGGCAACGGTGGGAGGCCTGGGCTGGCTGTCCCCGAAGGCTGTTCAGGCCTAGCTTGCAGGAGGGTCCCAGGAGCTCCGGCCGGCTCCCCAGAGCTGTGTTCAAGCCCAGCGGGGCAGGAGAACCCTTTGATTTCTGTGGTCTCTGGTCTTCATGTGCATCTCTCTGGGGCCCTGGGGGGTAGCTGTACTCTGGGCCTGGGCTTCTGGGTCCCCGGCCTGATAGCATCTAACACACTCCAAATCTCACCACCAGGGAGTTCAAAAGAATAAAATGCAGAGACCTGTAAAGACAGGATTCCTCAGCCTCGGCGATGACAAAATCTTAACATACTAGAAAACTCGCGGGGATTTCAGTGACAAAATGTAGTTACTCTCGGTGGGTGAAACCGGCTGTGGTTGTGATAACTGCAGCCAGATAGGATCCCACCACCCACAGGCTGTGTGACCCTGGGAAGCCCTCATCTCTCTCTGTTTCGTGAAATGGGAGTCGCTGAGGTCTGTACGTTTCCAGCTGTGCTCTGGGAATTCGCTGGACTCCTCAGAGGCACCTGGATCAGGGAATGGATGGGGAGGACGAGGGGCAGCCTTTTCCTCTCCCAGCCTCGAGGTTTGGAATGCACCAGGCCAAGCGTCAGAGGTCACACATGGCACAGGCACATCAGCTCCGGGGGGAGGGTACCCCGTAGCAGCCCTCACTTACCTCCTGCTGCCTTTCCTCCAGGCAGTCCGGGCTCTCCTGCAAGTGCCATACGGCTGGGAGCTGGCTGATGTTCTGTATCTGGATGGAGGTGGCGGCTTTCTGCCCCAGGCGAAGCAAACCAAACTGGATGGCTGAGACATTGATGACGAGAGCAGGCCCCTGAGACAGCCAGAGGCACCCGTCACAGGCCCCTTGGGAGTGGGCTCTGCCCTGCTGCTGCCCACTTTCTGGCCCACCCGGCCACCCAGCCCTGCCAGCTGCACCTTGAAGGCCGCCTCGATGTGTAACACCACCGGGAAGGGGGAATCTTTGATTTCACACAGCAGATCGTGGCTGGTCGGCCCAGGGACACCCCCAGTAAAGTTCAACACAAAACACTCAACCTCGCTGGGTTCTGGGAGAAAGGCGGAAAGGCAAGAGGGCCAGAAAGGAAGCCAGGTCAGTGTCCTTCCGTGGCTGGGCCCAGATGCCCGGTCTCTGCTAACTGGAGCTGATCAGCACGAACCTCCGTGCAGGCCCCTTCACTGAAGCCTCCCTCCCCTGGTGTGACCCTCCGAGTTCCCGAAGTACCTACAACCCCCATGCAGGGTTCCACTTCGATGATGTGCACGTCACTGATCTTCCCCCACGCGTATCTGATAGGAGACTTGCTGTTGTTCCACATCTGAAAGGCAAACCCACCCGGCTCCTTGGGTATTGCCCTCATGTCATGTCTGCACCGACTGTGGGACCGTGAGACCGTGGGACTGTGGGCTCCTCCTGACACCCTCCCATGTCATCTGCACCGACTGTGGGACCGTGGGACTGTGGGCTCCTCCTGACACCCTCCCATGTCATGTCTGCACCGACTCTGGGATAGTGGCACTGTGGGCTCCTCCTGACACCCTCCCAGCCAACTCCTGGCTGACCAGCAGCTCTCACACCGCACAGCGGGGTTCGTGGGAGCCATATTCTCCCTGGGACCCATGAATACTGGAATGGGTAGCACAGCTAACCTTGCAGAGGATGCCGGGAAGCTGAGGAAATGAGCCGGGCATGCCTGACTCAGCAGCTGTGCTGACCAGCTGGGTGCAGGGGGCCTCCCTTGGTCCCCGTCTACCTGGTGGCTGCTCCCATCCCCTTCTCCAGCTAGCTCCTCCCTCCACTCACATCCAATCTCAGCACCACCTCAGCCAGCCTCACGGGTAGGTGGGGGTTTGAGCGGGAGCAAATACTCACCTTAAAATCTTTCTTCACATTTATGCCAATGTAGTTCTCCCCTGGGATGATGAGGGCATATGGTTCTAAGAGAACCTGGAATGGTTCTGCTGAGCCCTTCACCTCGATTTCCAGGACAATCACGTCATCCACTGTGTAGGAGGGCTCCTCCAGGTCTTCCAGCTCTGCACTGGACACAAACCCGCCGTGAGCAAGGAGCCCAGATAACCCCGGAGCGTGGGCCTCCACACTGTCCCATCTTCGCTCT